TAAAGCATTTCAGCTGATTTGCATGTGTGATTTTTCCAGGCACCTGTCTCGTGTGAAAGTGTCTGGTATGCTGTATAAAATAATTATAAACAAAATAGAACTCAGTCCAGATCAGAAGAGCCCAAAAGGAAGAGCTGAAGAGAGAGGCATAAATACCCATGAGTGAAACTACTGGAAGAGGACAAAAACTGTCCTTGCCTTCTCTCTTCAGGCCTTGTATGTTCCCTTGGTACATTTTAAAAAAGGTGACTTTCCGTACTGTGCACTTGTAATTTTTTCCCCCATAAACCTGCTGCAGACCTTGAGCCTGCCTGTCTGACTAGAGGCACAAATCAGGCAGTCAGCGATACGGGCAGTGGATGATTTGTGTCTTTAATTTATGTATGCAGACCCAAAACTACAGGAGCAAATTTTGAAGAACCAAGCAGTGGGCTCCCTGGAGAGGAAGGTCAAGCCTTAGTCCATCTGAAAACATAGGCCAAAGAAATGAGTGGTCAAAGTCTGACTTCTTTCTTCTTTAAAGAAGTGGTTGAGCTCCCTTTTTAAATACTCTCCTCATTTACAGCCATTCCCCCAGATCACTTCCTAGATTGGACTTTTTTTCAGGCTGTCCATGGTTTCAATAAATGTTTGGGATTGTTGCTGAAAGACTGGAGAGCCTGTTCTGTGAGAATGCTCCTTACAGTCTATTTCTGGAGCCATGATGCTTTCTGCTCTAAGTAATTTTGCATCTGCTATGTGGCAGAGCTTTTGTTACAGAATGTGCCTAACAAAATGGTTTAGACAGTGACTTGCTGTGTTGGTGTCCTTCCACCTTCAGTAAACCAAATAGGCCCTCCAGAAAGAACAAAACATGTGACTAATTTTTTGTTAATTTTTCACATGATTAAGAAGCAGACACATCCCTAAACGGGACTCGATTTGTACATTCATCTGGGAGGTTTTGCAAGATTAACTTTCATATTTGATTACAAAAATGTAAACTTGTTTTAGGCACTTAAAATTCATTCATCAATGTTTGTCAGGCACTCAGATCCCAGAGCTGTGAGGGCCATAGAAATGCTTATGTGTAAATCTCACCATTAAAGCAGCTGTAGCCAGTTGGCGGCTGTTTTAACTGTCCTAGCTCATGCTTACTGCCCCCAGCGCTTCCTTTGCACTTGCTTTAGTTTTCTATGACTAACTTTTTGGAACCCAGAGTTGCCTTTCCTCCTACTCCTCCCCACCACAACTTCTTCCTGCTTTCTTCCAATGCCTTTCACAGCTCCTTGGCCTCCCTCAACAGGCAGTGTTAGTGCCCACTGTGTAAAAACATGATTTGGTCCCATTATACCATTTGACCTAACTCCGTTGATTACAATTTAGCTTGAACTTATTTAAAGTGGACCTTGAATTGGGTACAGAAAACATGGTTTGGGCCACAGTATGAAAATACCTTTATGTACAGCTCAGGATTCCATTGTGCTAGGTGTTGAACACATTACCCCCTTCCCCCAAGCTTATAATCTATGTAAAAAATAATGTGTAAGACTTGTGTCTTCTGACATATCTAGAGTAACTGTTGTCCATAAAAGCCAAAACATCCTACTTAATTCAGTGGTGTTTATAATTTGCACTAATCTTCATTCACACATATTAAAAACGCCTACACCATCCTTTCCTTCAGATAAATGGATATAGATATTACATAAAATATAGCAATCCATCTATGGTACTCCTACATGTAATAAACTTACATGGACGATCCCATTGAAAACTCTAATGTCTTTTATATTATTTTATGGGGTATTTTTCCATATAAAAGCCTTAAACAGAACATAGGGATTTTCATATAGAAGGCTACCTAGATACAGAATTTCCTTCATAAACATTGTAATAACTTTTCAGAGAGGAATACAACTGCATGCAGAAGTTTCTGAAAGCTTTATTCAAACGCTCTGATCATTGGACCTTTCTGGCTCTTACATATTTTGCCCCATTATCAAATATTTGCAATGAACTATATAAACAGCCACGTATAAACTGCTTCCAGAGAAAGGATGCCAATCTGATCAAAATGACGGATTTAAAAAAGATGCAGACACAGTAAATTTTTCATAAAATGAAGCATACCAGAAAAACAGAAATACGAAAGACTTCTTATCACTAGATAACACTTAAATTACTCCTGAAGTTGGTTTTTACTAAAGGTTCAACTCTTTTTAAGGAGTTACTGCTGACTAGCCAGCCAATTATGTTTCTAGATAAACATTAGCCAATGAACTAATGAGGGGGAGGAAAAATTTCTCAATGGGATTTGCATTGCTAGACTCTCCACAGCATTTTAGGGACATCAGTGTTATTGTTATTACTATGACAACACTCACCACAGGTTTTATTTTAACCCCCACAAATGATTAGAAGAAATTAAACAGTTTAAACTGATCTCATCACTTTTCTGCTTGTGCGATGTCACCCTCCTCCCCCTTCCCTCCACAACGGATGGCAACCCACAATCCATCCTACATTACTCTTTATCTGCATCTCACAAAGTGTATTCCAGCCCATGAAAGCTTCTGCCAAAATAAATGTGTTAGCCTGTAAGGTGCTACAGGACTCCTTGTTGTTTTTGCTGAAACAGACTAGCACAGCTACCTCTGTGAAACTACTCCCTATCTGCCATTACATGCATCTGACGAAGTGGATCTTTGCCCACGAAAGCTTATGCTCCAATACATGTTAGTCTATAAGGTGCTACAGGACTCCTTGTCCTTTTTACTCCCTATCTGTATCACTCTGCTAAATACAGAAGTAAGTTACACATATACACATCTATGTGCGCTGCAATGTGGACAATTCCCTAGACATTTGGAAATGGTTTGCACACTGGCTCAAGGGTTTCCATCTCCAAAAAGAGCCCTCCTTTTAAGTGTTTCCAAATCGTGTGGGTTTTTTTTGGGGGGGGGAGGGGTGTCCTGAAGACCACCCAGTGAGTGAGTCTCTCTGACATCATGAGAGAGCAGTAAATGCACTTGAAAGGCCGCCTCTGTTTTGGTGGCAACTCCTATGCAATTGCAAAGTGCCCATTAAAGCACAGGTTGTTTCCTAGAAGCATGTCCAAGCCAGTAGCATTCAAAACCCTTCAGGGGTTCTGGAAAGCATTCCCTTTTGAAATGCTGCAGGAAACGCCGAGATGAAAGGATAAGTCTCCTGGCTGTGCAGTTACAGTCTATTGTCTTCCATGAGGGATAGTTATCACTCCTCAGTTGTGTTATTGCAGTTAATCCACTTAAAGGCTATTGGATTTGCAGATGAGCTGAATTCCTTGCCCCTGCTATTAAGATGCTTTGTTGAGCTGAGCAAGGGCTGTTATTTCAATCACAAGGAGTTCAGGGAGATGTCAGGGTGCAGCAGACACCCTGTGCCCGTTTACACGGGGGAAAGGGAGGGAGGGTATTTTCTTTCCTCCCCCTACTCCAGAAACGCCTTTGACTCGAGATAGCGCCCCAATCCCAGCCCCATGCATTGCTCCCGAATCGGGTGTGCCATTTGGACACTTGCACCAGGCGATCGGCTGTGTACGCGGTGGCGATGGCTCCCTTTGGCCCTGCCGCTCCACGGAGGAAAGCGCGGAAAGGAGGGGCTGAGTCAATAGGATACGGGTTTAATGTGTAACCGAGCCAGCCCTTCGATACAGGGGCAGGGCACAGCACGGCTGCTGCGGGTTGACTTTGAACCTTGCCAGTGGGAAGATCGGCTCCCGCCGCCCTGCGCCCTTGTACGCGGTGGCGATGGCTCCCTTTGGCCCTGCCGCTCCACGGAGGAAAGCGCGGAAAGGAGGGGCTGAGTCAATAGGATACGGGTTTAATGTGTAACCGAGCCAGCCCTTCGATACAGGGGCAGGGCACAGCACGGCTGCTGCGGGTTGACTTTGAACCTTGCCAGTGGGAAGATCGGCTCCCGCCGCCCTGCGCCCTCCCCCGGGGGCCGGCCCCC